GAAATGTCATCTTTGTGTGTTTGCTGCACCCAAACATCAATTCACTGGTTTTTACAAGTTTCAAGAGAAGATTAGTTTGTATAACTGCACACGGTGCTATTCTGTAATGATTTTATCCTTGTCATTTATTTGGCAGTTTGCATCCATGAACTATGCTGCTGAATGTTGAGCCATAACATGTTTAGAAATTTAAAATAACTGTTTTCCAGTCACCATTGATCAATTTTTCAGCAAGAACACAAGAGCCCTTGGCAAAAAAAAAAAAAATCTGAGTTGAGTTATGTTTGTGTCATTTCATCGGCGTCACATTTTTATTGCCTGTCAAGTCTCTCCCTCTTTTAAACCGCTTGCAGTGGATTGAACAATAGTAACAACAAACAAATTTCATGCTGTGTTTAGGAAGCTAATTACGGAACCTCGGCCATTCCAGTAAAAGGCAGGGGCAACTTTAGCTATTCATAGCCTTCCTCTTCTCAGCTCACAGTAATGAACTGGCAGTCTCGGGGGGGTGGGGGGGTGGCTGTGCAATCTGAGATTCATCTAATGCTTACCACCACAGCACTGGGACTATATAGAAAAGAGGAGTAGAAGCATTTAAAAGACCAGTGACGTTTTCCTCAAGGTCAAAGCTGTGGGGTTGCACTGAAAATGATAAAATATTAACCTCCTAGAAATAGTTTCTCAGCTCGTATACTGCATCGAGGAGATCTGGAACAACAGCCTGCACAGCTGGTTCTTAATTTATCATAGTTAAGATTAGCTAGAGATCTCATTGCATTGGTGTATTTTGAAGCTACATTAGTTAAGATTATGTAGTAATTAAGACAAAAGTAAACTTATCCTCATACAGTGTGTTACCAGCAGTGAACTTTTGATCTCACATGCCCAATAGTAAACTGTCAGACAGATAAGAATTTATTTAGAGATCAAAGATGAAGCTGGAAAATCTGTGCCAGACTGCCCACCTTAGTGCAACCGCCCTTTTTCTAGCTTTCCCAGGGTTGTCACAATACTGGAATTTTTAACTTTGATACAGTACCTTGAAAAAAATATCGATATTCAGTGCCATTTTCAATGTCACAGGGAAAAATTGACACCTGATTGAGGACATAAAAGTTGACTTTTTATTTAAAAGGCAAGTATAACAATATTATAACATGACAACAAGGTACAGCTTTTCTTTTCTAGGCTAGTAGCAGAGAAATCAGAATGACTATAATAGACATTACCAATACTTTTTTGTACTTTCTTTGTAATTTTTCACATTAATGAAAATAATATTAGCTTAACTTTGAGAATTACAAATTAATGTTGGGCCAACAACAGGACAACACACTTACTGGGTCATTTTGTTTAATGCTACCAATTTATTTGTCAACCAAACCTGGTCGCAGCAGCTCGTCTGTAACGCGCTAGCATCACAGCAAAACCAGCGTTATACCACCATCTGTCATTAGCTTAAAATTCAACAGAACAAATGAGACGAGTAATTCACAATTCACAGAGTAATATGATGGGCAGGAACCGTGCGCTCAACTGTATGTTTTAACTGCCTTGTGAGACAGTGGCAAGCAGTCTTTGTTTGATATACTGCTTGATTATTTTCAGAATAGCCGTCATTTATTTGGTCCTACTAAACGGCACTGGCACTAATGAAGGCAGAGTTGGTGGTGTTGCATCAAAAAAGAAAACACTCCACTCTAGTACTTCTTTTTTTTACAGCTTGTTTTATAGCTGCACATAAAAAGCTCTTTGTTTGAGCGGGTCAACACCTGTAGACAAATGGGCCCCCTTTATCTCAAAACCAAATGTTGTTGGGAACCACTTCTGTACAGAGTACCTACACACTAGTGATCACATTTGTGCTCAGTTATGTGCATGACTTCTAGCATTGTGTCCTCCGTTACAAACAGAAGTCATTGATACTACAAAGTCTTAAGCACGGAACTGCTCTGGACGCTGTCTGCTCAGCCCGCTACCACTTGGACCAGACAGATCCACGGGTCACACATCCCACTTACCTTTATTTACTTAAGCCTTTTTTGCTACTTGGATATTGAGTCAGAAAAATATACTTTCTGTATTAGTTGGAATTGCTTTTGAGCACTTCAACTTGTGTCTTTGTGTGGTTTCACAATTCACTGAAGTGAACCAGGCCAAAGAACAGAAGACAGTGTCTGTGGAGATGTTCGGTCTCTCTTGGGCTCTTGTTTTACAGGATTGAACCACTTTGACTCTGACCAGTTGATCAAATAAAAAGAATGAATTCAGTTGACAATAAACACAAAGAACATTCCAGTGAATGCCTGGTACTCTTCATAGATCATGTTCATTAATACAAAGCATGACTTGCAAATTTAGTACATTCCTTGTACTCTTGTGTATTTTCTCATCCACTCTCAAGTTATGAGCACATAAAAGCTCAGTACATAAAAACTCATCTTCAGTCACTGCAGTTCTTGTTCTAGTCTTTGTAACTTTGTTCTCCTCTTTTTTCTTTTTTTTTTAACCACATAAACAGAGACTGATCGGTCCTTAGATGCAGCAATTAAACCAAGACATCTCGTGTCTGTGTAACATTGCTAGTGATTTATATCCAGATGGAGTGGGAGTGACAGTGTCAACTAAGATTTTGTTTCTGCCTTGATAGCTTTCCCATATAACTTTGCCATAAGCTGAAATCACAGATTTTCCACAGGACTCTACAATCTGTACAACATACAATATCTGCTATAATTAGACCATTTGTATGAGAAAGAAAAGGTAAAATGCATAAACGAATAAACAAAACAGCTTTAATGCTCTCTTATTCAAGCTGCCCTGAGTTAATTTACAGGGGCGACCTGTCAAGATGCAATTAAGCACTGCTACCAACTGAATAACATTGTATTTTTTTAAATTAGATATTAGAGATGTAGTTTGATATGGTGACATCATTCTGGCAGCTAAAGTACAAGAGAGAGACAGAGAGGCCAAAGTACATTCATTCATACATTAAACCAAAACCTTATTTCCTTTTCTGTGACTGGATTGATGCTCCATGTCGGCCAGTACCCTGACTTTAGATATCAGAATTGTTTATCTGGACAGAAAGTTATATCAGTGCATCCCAAGTAGTGATTGAAACACTGGTGTCCTCTCCATTAGCATGTCTGAGGTTTAGCCTGCGTGTACGTCTTCTTCCCAGTCTCACCTCTCCACCACCTCTGCTTTGTGTCTTAAGATAATAGCTAATAGCTTAACTACATATCGCTGCTTTGAAGCATCATATTATGTGCAGTGACCTTCCTATAAGCATATATGTACTAAAAGAAGCTTCAGCTCAAGAGAGTCGCGTTCACTGTGACAGATTAGCACCGTTGCTCGAGTTGGATCCTTGTCTGCACTGCTGCGTCTGTGACTCGGTGTCAGAAAGAAAAGCTGTCTTACTGTAAACAAAATCTGGATCCTGTTCTTCAATTCCAAATCGAATTTCATATATTCCAGAAGCGATGTGATGTTTATTTAGTAGGTTTGCCATCTTAAACTGGTAAATGCATAGCAACAACACATTGGATTTAGAAGATAAACAGGGTTTTCAGCTTTCTGAAACTAGTAGACTACTCGGATGTTAAGGACAGTTATTGGACAAGGTTCTGGTACATGTAAGCCATGTTTTCGTTTTGTATTTGACAGATTGGACTTTGTTTATTGGCTTTGTTAGAAGTTGGAATACTAGTAGATCTCAAGGCTATTCTGCCATCCGTTTGCATGCAAGGCAGAGCATCCAACGCTGTGTGATCTAAAGCCAAAAACAATCACTCCTACCATTTTTTTTCCTTGTCTGCTGCTGAGCGGCACAAGTGTGGCTCCCAGACCAAATGTTTAATGGCCTTTATTTTAATTTAGAGGTAAGAATAGAATATAGAGGGTTATTCAGACTTTGTGTTGGAGCAGAAGAGCAATTGAGCATGCATTAAGACACTCTATTCTTTTGCTTTTAGCCTCAGAAAAACTGTCTCAACAGAAGTGAACAGTTAAGATACTTTAATCATTTGTGTGTTTTTTTTTTTTTTTTCCTTTTTTGTCTTGCAGAATGTCAAACCCTTCTCTTCCTCAGACAGCCTAGTGAAGGTCCAGGAGGTAGCAAGCTGGCTTTTGGAAATGAACCAGGATCTGCTGTCGGGGGGCAGCAGCAGCAGGCGGAGTCGGGGGCCGGGGGGTCCGGCAGTGCGAGGTAACGCCTCCTCCACAGCCCGGGCACCCCAGCAGGCTGCAGAGGAGGGTGACGACGATGAGCACATGAATCGGGTAGTAGAAGAGGAAGGGCAGCTGCAGCAAAGGGTAAGGCCAACTGATATTCAAGTAGTTATTTTGTATAGGTATAGGAAACATAAACTTTTAGATTTAAAGTGGATTGTCGAGTTGTAAGCAGGTCGTATAATTGTGAAGATGTCCTGAATGTTGGCAACAAAATAGGAACTTTCAGGTAATTGTAAGTGCAACAAATGGAATTCATCGTCATACCTCAGAGACATTATATAGTTTTTCTTTTTTTTTGTTTGTTTGTTTTTGGTCACAGCCTGAGGCGTCGCAGGTTGATGGCGAGAGAGGACAGCCATGGGCGCCCAGCGAATCGGGAGCCAGCAACGGCCCTCGCGGGGATGAGGAAGGGGAAGATGATGAAGAGGCCCCACCAAACGAAGTGAACGGAGGGGAGAAAGGAGCCCGATGGATGTGGGGGGCACAGCAGAGACGACTGCGAGGTCAGCCGCTGGGCGAAGAAGAGGAGGAGGAGGAAGAGGAGGAGAACAACAACCACAGCAGCCACCAAGAAGAGGAGGAGGCAGAGGAGAGGACACAGGAAGGGGAGGAGCAGGGCAGGGAGGAAGAGGAGAGAGAAGAGGGTGAGGAGGAAGAGGAGGATGAAGATGAGGAAGAGATGGACCAGGACAGTGATGACTTTGAGCATTCAGCAGAAAGTGGGAGGGAGGAGGAAGAGGATGAGGAAGCAGAAGTGGAGGAAGGGCTACGGTCTCCCTCTCTCAGGAACAATACGTCTGCCCCCAATAACAACCTGGACTCTGGTTGTACACACCAAAGCTCTTCCAACAAGAAGGTAAGTCCAGCTCTTGTTTGTGGACCAGTTTTCATTGGAACTACTTTCTGCTGCAAACTGTTCTCAGTGAGGTCTGTGGAATATCCAGAAGAACAGGCACACTGTTACTGTCATCCTGTAGTGCTGTGAGCACCACAAACAGAACTTCACTTCTCTCCTTTGTATTTGTGTGCAGTCAAACATTTGATAGGAGAGATACTGTAAAACTTGGCCATACAGCACCAACACAATATGCTTCACTAGATACCACTGCACATAAGTGCAAAGCTACAAATTACAAGCTATGTTACCCGACCCAAGATAAGCAGAAGATAATGGATGAATGGATGGAAGCTGTATTATTTGGGTGAACTGATTCTTTTAGGATGTGTCTTACAGCAGGCACAACAGTTTCACAAGAGGTTTCTCACAAGCAGCTTTAGGTCATCATCACATAGCTACTATTTAAACTCAGTGTACTGCACTAGTAATGCATGGGTCATATTTAAAACAGCAGTTCCCTCTTGTGGCATAACTATGGTAGTACACTGCTCATTCATGCAGGGACAGCATCTTCCTAGTGGCACCTGATATTTAAGTTCTTAAAACTCCAGAATTTTTGATCACTTCTGTATTAATGGTAGAAGTGGCATCTCTATTGTGTAAATCTATTTTTAAATGCACAGAAGGTGTGACAGTGACAATGAGGTGACACTTTCAGCAGGTGAAGATTTGTGTTTCTTACCTCTGAGCTCTGGAGACAAATTAGTTGAAAATAGCAATGTTTGATGTCACACAGTGTGTTACCACTCTTGAGAATGGCAACTGTTTGACCGCCAATAAAACTAATTTGTCTAATTTTCCTCAGCTAAAATGAACAAGTACCTGTTCTCGCAGTAACCTTTTAAATTCAACATACTGACCACTCTCAGCTAAAAGAGATGTGTATGAGGTGACATGAAAGTGATGTGTCACTCCCAAGTGATCTGCTTTGATTGCACTATATTATTTATTTTAATGAAAGACATGCATATGACAAGTTAGGATGAGTGGACATGAGCTCTCCATCCAGGATCTCACCCAAACTCTTTTTTTTGTTGTTGTTATTTTCAGCACAAAGTGAAATGTAAGACATGGATAGATATAAACACTGCACACTGGTTGGCTGGTTGCATCCATATTTGTTTTAATACAAGGATGTGAGAACTGGCATGATCTCGCGGGATGTACAGGCTCATCTGGCAGAACTCTCAGTTGTTAAGTGTGTTGTCCACAGAGATTGATCAGTCCTTAGGTGTGTGCTCCTTCCTGACTGTCTAGGACTAAAGGACTAAAAATCTAAGCAAGTTGGTGGAAGCACTCATTAAGTGTGGCCTTTTCAGCCTTAGAAGGTGTTAGTCAATTGTTGAGTGTGTGCCCACCTTAAGAAAATGTTGACAATTACAGAAGTTGTACTTAAAATCCAGAGAATGGCTAAGTGCAACTGGCCATTACTCTAGTGCTGAGACTCCCTCACCTGAAAGCAGCTGAAAACATAATGAATGCAGACGCTTCCATTCCTTTGTGAATCAAGTATAATGCTAATACGTGAGAGATCTGAGCCTAGTGGCATCTATGGCATGTAGCACTGAAGTCTGCTTACATCAGACTAACACGTTGCTGAGACACTTTGTTGTTTGTTCTTTTAGCTTGTTATCAATTTACGTGGTCAGAATTCTGAGCATGAACAAGAAAAGCAACAACTCTCTTCCCATGCAGGCTTTTTTTTTTTGTTTGACACATTTGATTCACTGTAGATGGAGATAAAAGCTAATGCATTAATATAATAATAATACATTTATTGAAAATGTAATATGCAACACTAATTTATCATCAGAAAAAAAAAACAGTGAAAGCAAAGACATCAAGGGAGGCTGTGGATAAATGCTCAGCTGCCACATTCATCACCAGAGTCAATAAAGCAGCCGCACTACATGGTCACAACTGCAAAATTAGTGGAGAAACTGATTGATGATGAGTAAGAAGGAAGGCTCTTTATTTGCTGGTTTAATCAGGTGATGTATTTCAGAACTACTTTGGGCTGCAGTTAGTGATAGAGGAGTGACCACACAGTGCAAAATAACAGCCTGCTTGTGTATGTTGCGTTCATTCATACGATGTACAGAAGCCCCTTTTAGATCCTTTGAAAATTTCAAGCACATCCATGCTTCACTGATTGATCGATGATGAAAGCATTTGTCGTCGTGATTGCAGCTGGACACAGAGTTGTGTCTGATGTGTGTGTAACAAATGGTCAGATCTTTTTCCTCAGCAGCAGAACTAATGTGTTTTGTTCTTTGATGCTGCACAGCGCCAGTGTTTGGGTGTTAATGCTGGTGTCTTGTTTCAATATTGACTGATGACATGACTTTGTTGAGTACGTTTCAGTGGCCTTCACCCCACCTGTATTATAAAGGAGGAAATGGAGCCTGCCAACAAGTTTGTTTAGAAGCTTGGAAGGATATTTTTTAATTTGCGGTGTGTTTGCAATGCGTCGACAGGTTGGACAAGTGCAAACCCATAGTTCAAAAGGCGGCCACCGGAGCTAATTACTGATATCACGTGTCAGTGTAAATTGAGACCTAAAAAGGACCATGCCTTAAAAAGTACCAGTCATAATTTAGAAAATGTCGTAATGATGTAGTTTGTTTATTAGCCTCCATGGTTTATAAAGGTCTGGGGTAGCACCAGAGTTGTAAGAATAGCAGGATCAGTTCAGTAGATGGTGATTTTAATCTAGTAAATCTTTTAGTTTAATATACTCACTAAATCTGAGGAATCTGGACTAAAATGCATGCATTTGTTATTAAAATCTGTAGCAACCCCCTTAATCCAGTGGTTGCCTGCAAATCAGTGTTTCCCACTGAATAAGATTGTACTAGTGCTGTTCATCTTATCTGTCCTTTCTGCACCAGCTCTGCCACAGCAGCAGCATGTTGGCTGTTGCTCTCCTCCTCCCATAATGTACATCTCTCTCTTTAGTCATCTTTTCCTGACTCTCTCTTGCTCCTTCAGCAGTGCCAGTAAATATTGGTTTGCTGGTCACACTGGTCAGACTGATCAGCTTTCCCAAGTGTGTTTTTCAATATTCCTGTGGACTGAGGGGGCAAACATTCAGTGTCAGAGTTTATGTATTAGCATTAACTTTATCCACTTGCAGTGCAGCCCACGTACATCCGTGCTACAGTATATACAGCGTGCTGACCTCAGCGGCAGCTGTATTCTGATGTAAGCTTAGCGAGGCTTTCTATCTTGCTAATAACATATTGGAAGAGTTGGCTCTCGGTGATTGACAGCGTTGTGTTTAAAAAGACAAACAAGGAGAGGAAGAGCTGTTCACAGACTCTCTGTCGTTATGGTTGTCATGTGTTTGTGTGAGAGAGAAACAGAGCGGGGCACGGAGGGACTGAGCAAACACATACACCACGCACGGCACTACATTGAAATGAGATCTAACCTATTTTAAATCAATATGTGGCGATCAGTTTTGATGTTGTAGTTGTCCGCCACAAATAAATCAGTGTGTGGGCAACACTGCAAACATTCGTATTTTGTGTAATTTAACATTTATTATGTGAGCAGTGCTGTTGTATCATACAATCCCTTGAATACACCAGGGGGACACAGGGACCACTAGAGATTATAATCAGACTGTAATGGCCGTCAAGCTGCACAGTGAAGAAGTTTATTACTGTTGAAGCACATGCTTCTCAGTTGTTTCCTGTGTCATATATCATACCTGTGGTCTGAATATAGAATAATATTATTTGTGTCAGAGCCTTTGATGCAGATATTGCCCTTGCTTGTATTTGCCTAAATATAGCAGACAGTCTGAATTCACTCCTGTGTGCCTCACACCATGTAACACAGCTGTCAGACAGGCTCGCCAGGGCTTTAGTCACTGTAGTGGGCCAGCTGGCTTTGAATGTACACTTTTTGTTCAGCTGTGTGTCCTGTATGCTTGCTTGGTATTCGGAGTGGTGCAGAAAGAGCAGATTGACAGCTCAAGTAAGAAAAGTAAAGTATGAATCATTTTTAGAATATGAGGTCAGCAGGGAAAAATCTACTGTTCTATAAATTTGCAAAGGATTAAAAAACAATATCTTAGGAAGTGCTTTTACTTTGTAATCCTGTTTGACTTGTTCCCTCATTACAGTATTTATAAATCACATTAGACTTGTGAGAAACTCTTCAAAAACATGTATGTAATTCAGAATCATAGAATAGATGTGATCAGGTAAAACCAAATATTCAGGTAGACAATTTAGTAGAAAAAATTACCATAAAAAGGCTAAAGTACATAAAAGTGGCCAGTTTAGCCTAGATAAATAAATTCTGACTTAGTAATATAATTTATTTCAGAGCTTTGAGGGTGCAGCTGTATATAGCACTTTCCAACTTCAGGATTGCTAAGTGCTCCACAGTAAAAAAATAGAGTAGAAGACAGACTGTCTTCATACACAGATGGGTGGCAAAAGACAGCAAAAACCTAAATAAAATGAGTGGTCTCTCCCAGGATGACGGGCAGATGCGTGCATCAGTCTCAACATGCCCTCACCGCGGACAGGCTGTGTCCCTGAAGTCCAGGTGCTGTTGGCTCACGTCACCAGAATAAGATGTTTCAATTCCTCTTGTCTTTTGAGCCCGTGCCAGTGAAGTAATGCTCTGGGTCATGATCATCATTTAACCTTCTAAGTTCTTAACAAGCACCATGAATCAGTATTTATGCCATGCAGGCCTAACGGGTAAAGATGTTCTTAAGTAGAATCAATACTTCAATCAGATTACATTTAAACAGATGCCTCTCTATTCAAAGGCAAGAAAGGACCTGCATCACTTGTAGCCAGTGGACTGTAGCAGATGTTTACCTCTGTACGGTATTAAATTATCCCCACGATGGCAGGTTACCCAACATTGGTAGGTAAGTGTCAAACACTGTTAAACTACATCACAAAGAAAACTGTTACCGTTAAACTATTTAA